AAAAACCTCAAGTACCAAAGCTTAATCAAGAAGAAATGGGTAAGCATAGCCATGTATGTATTAAATTAAATTCATAGAATTCTAGGCCCAGATAGCTTTACTGTGAAATTCTATCAAACATTTAAGGAATTAATAATATAATTCTATATTAACTCTTCTAGAAAACTGAAAATGAAAGAATATTCCCCTACTCAACCTATGACAGTAGCAATATGATGAAACCAAAACCAGATGAAGACATTACCAACAAAAACCCCACAAAATCAGAAGAGGCCATCATGAATATATATGCACAAAATCTCAACAAATTAGCAAACTGAATTAAAAATATATAAAAAAGATAGCGTATCATGACTAAGTGGGGTGTATCCCAGGCACTAGAATGGTTTAACATTAAAAAATCAATTAATATAATTCACCCTATGATCAGACTGAAAAAGAAAAACCATATAAATAGCTCAATAAATGAAGAAAAAGCATTTAACAAAATCCATATACATTGTTGATAAACTCAAAAAACTAGGAATAGAAAGAAACTTCCTCAAGCTAATAAAGGACATCTATGAAAATACTACAATTAACATCATACCTAATTTTGAGAAAACGAGAGCTCCTCAAAATCAAGTATGAGATAAATATGTCTGCTCTTACCATTCCTATTCAACACTGTACTGAAGGTTCTAGACAATGCAATGCAGGAAGAAAAAAGTAAGAAGCACAAAGATTAAACAGGAAAAAGTGAAACTGTCTTTATTCACAGATATGATCATCTATGTAGAAAATTCAACAGAATTTTCAAAAATGTTCCTGGAATTAATTAGCAAGGCTGCTAGATGCAGCATGAATATATAAAAATGAACTATACCATATGAATATATGTATGAAAAATATGTATGATTAAAAGATGTTTTAGAAGAAATCAACTAGAAACTTATGAAAGCATAGACTAAAAACCACAAAGATATGAAACACTAAAGTAGACATATTGATAATCAGGGTGTTAAGTGTACTTTGACCATTTAAAATGTTTTTGCAAGGTTTATTTTTTCCATTTTTCCTGAGGGAAAATCATCTGGTCATCAACTTACAGATTAATTGGATTCTCAATTAAGAAAAGTGCTTATATTTCAAAGATATAATTAGTGGCAATTAGGATTTTGAGATACTATTGTGTAAAATTTGCCTGTTTTTCATGGCTATCTCCTCAGCAAAGGGATTTAGGTATATTTGTAGTGACAGTTTGAATTAAAGAACCAAGCTGAGACTAAAATCTCTGATGTGCATAGGAATGTGCAAATGTACTAGAAGAATTAGGACAATGCTTGTAATTAAAATAATAATAATAAAATAATACTTTTTAAATAAAGCCTGTCCACACTTTGTTATAAATGTAAGTGTAAAGCATATGTTGAATTCAACTCTATGGACTTCCACCTAAATCATTATATCAAAAATTTTAAATTAAAAAATGCAGAAGACATATATACCCACAAACCCACAGATATATATAATCTAGAAATTCTCTTGGCCAATGGTTCTCAAACTTTGCTGTACATTATCATCACCTAAGAGAGCTTTAAAAATTCCTGATGTGGGGGGGGGGGACTACAGATGCTGATACTAATTAGACATAATCAATCACCTCAAGGGATTGCAGGCTTAAGAGCTGTGGTCTTGTGGGACAATCCAATCAATTGGCATAATATAGTTCTTAAAGTTTATATTCTACCCCCTGGTATGGTGAGTAGTGTCTAGAGTCTTAAAAGCTTGTAAGCAGCTGTTCTGGTTACCTAGTGCCGCTCTGACAAGAATATACCACAAATGAGAAGGCCTTGACAAACAGGAGTTTACTCTTACAATTTGGAGGCTTTAAGTCCAAGTTCAAAGTGCCAGGCTCTAGGACGTGGGTGAAAGCCCCTCAACCTTGGGGTCCAGCTCTGCCTCCTGCTCCCAGCCCACTGGAGCTAGAGGCATTTCTTCACTCAGACAGCTGCAGGCTGCTGAGGCTGAGAAGCCCCAAGGTTGACAAGGAAAAAGACACAGTCCTGATGTTACCAACCCACACAGCAGGCCATTAATTAAGTCCATTGTAAGTCCCAGGGTTGGCAGAGCATGGCAGGCTGCTGAGCAACGACATGGCTACATGTAAGATCCAAGCATGCCATAAGCTAGAGACCATTCTCAAAGCTTCTCCTTATATACAGGAAGCAGACCATATACCCAAATGCAGCTACTCAGCTGCTCATAGTAGACTCCACCATGGAGTTGATTACCAGTCTCATCATGAGGAATAACTACCACCAGCTGCCCAGCCACTCAACCAGGCCCAACCAAATTGACACAAAAACATAACTACCGCGGCAGCCACCTAACATCTTTGTCTGGAACAAAGAGAAAGAAGGAACCCCAAGAATTAAAGAAGGGACTATAATATAGGACTAATTGTTCATATGATCTCCTCTACCTTGAGATCAGAACTAGTTGGTGCCTACCTGATCAGGAACACAGCAGATGAATTTAGATAAAAAGGGAGAAAAATGTAGAACAGAAACTTCAGATTCTTAAAAGAAGCCAGACTTACTGGACCTACTGAGGATGGAGGATTTTCCAAGATTATGGCCCTGAACTGCTCTTCACATTTTCATCTGAAATTACTCCCTGAAGTCACCTTTAAACTAAGTAACAGTTTCACCCAAAGAGTAAAGCCTGTTATTCCTGAGTATTGCATTTCTTTAAAAAAAAAAATCTATATAAGACCAAGGGCCAACAGCTATTTTAAAGCACAGAATAGAAGGTTACAGGGCAGGAAAATTAAATAAATGGAGGTAAAACAACTAGAACAGAAATAAAAGAATGCTGACACAACATATGAAGATTATAACCAATGCCACTGACCATCATGTCTAGAAACTGGAATGGGAGTGGGTTGTGTACATTTCACTGGGGGGGAAAAAAAAAAAAGTACTGAGGAGCAAATCATACTCCAGAAAAATAAAATCTGAATGAGAACATAGAGAGGTGTGTGGGAAGTGCAGACAACAAAGATGAACCCTTTTGCACATATAGTACGGAGTGGTCAGTGAGAGCAAACATGGGTATATGGCTGGATAGATGGGTGGACAGGCTGAACTATTAGGTATGTCTATGAAGTGGGGAGTGTACCCAAGAACATGTATAGGGTTGGCAGACAGTGGTCCTATAACTTTATGTGTATGATCTGAATTCC